ATACAGTAGTCGCTAACGGGCTGCCGAATCCCCTGCGACAACAAACCGCACACAGAAAAATACACCAGTTGTTTCTTCATTGGTCATGTATGCGTGTGAACGGACAGACTTTTATTATTTACCATTGTTACAAGCTGGTTATCACCAAATACCCAGAAACGTAATGTTATAATAAAGTCGAATTTACTGTTTAAATTACACTGGTGACAATCTGGCCCATGTGATTCCGTGCCGAACAAAATTATTGATCGTTGTAACATCAAAAAAAATATCGACCAGCTTCTATAATAGTCTTCAAGCAAGGCACCAGAGCACCGTGAAAAATTAAAATCATACCTTCCATATGTCATTTATTGCTAATACCCTGTACCTGTCCGAACCCCTCTTTACTCGGGACAAGTATATTACAGATGTATGTTAAACGTAAGATTCTGTAATATAGCAAGTACGTGAAATTAAAACGCGTGTGTTCAGGAGATAACGCTGTTCGCGGTCTCTTTGATCAGTATCACGGTGTAATGAATGCTGTGTTCAAACGCCATGAACCCCAACGGTCCGTTAACTCACACACTATAGAGATACGGCTTCCGGCGTCCACAGAGCTCGGTCTCAGCTTCCGTAAGCAAACTCGTGACATAACCAAACCTCTACCGATCAAGGAAAACTGATTTACACAAATTAATTGCTTTTCCTGCAGATAGGGATATTACGTTCGATCCGTGGCCGCGGGACACGATATTTTACCGGACAATGCTTGCGCCCATACTACTCACATCATGGCAGCACGTGGCTCCATGTAAGCCATGTGCTTGATTAATGAATCTAACCTGAACTGGGTCTTTACGTGTACAAAAGACGTCAATTACTGCGAGCTCAAATATCACTGAAAGACCTTTCGAATTCGATCGATATTCGTCGGTTATCGATCGGGTGATAGAACGTGGTAATTAATACGCCGAGGACGCACGGAAAGGTGACTGTTCATGTTAGATAACTGCACCAGTATTTCGTATCCAGTGTCTGACAGTATTGATAGTCCCTAATCACTGCTAATGGCTGAACCATAAGTTTGGACGAGTATCGACGAGCGGCGTTAATTCCGTTCGAGTGGCATGTTTTGTCCGCCTAGCTGGCATCTCGTCCATGCCAGCATTATACGTATCTATAACGGGCACCTGCCGACTACATCATTATCAGGACTTAGAACAGACTATATACACGAGTGAATCAAATACCAGCTTTATCAATAAAGAAATCCATCAATACCCAATTAGTACAGAGAATAAATTAACGGAATGTACTCCTCACACGCAAAACTCGACGGCAGTAACGAGAAATCGTGTCAGCAATTAATCGATCCGGACGATGAAAGAGATGTGTGTGATCCTAAAGATAGTCTGATATTCTGCGATATGCTTCCTTTGAGACAATTTTCCGAGAAATTCGCCATATCTGCAATGGCCACCGTGTAAACATTCCTAGTTTTGTCCACGATCATGATTGAAATTGTCCACAATTCATTCCATGATATTGCTTACAACGGGTTTAGTTATTGTCGATAAGGGATTTCCTTATATTATCCACAGTGGGTATCTTTACATTGTCCACAATATATTCCCTTATATGCATTCATATCATAAATGTATCAAATGGGATTTTCTGTTAAACATATACAAATATTATAGCTTCAATGTTTACAGATATGCAGAGTAGTGTTTTGAATCAAGACTTTCAATCCAAATGGTTCGCCATCGAACAGGGAACGAGGCAAGGGAGTATTGTATCTCCATGGATGTATACTTTGTATATAAATGAATTGTAAGGTAGTTTATGTAACTCAAATGCTGCATTTTTTTGTTGAAAATGTTAATGTCACTTGCCCTACGCAGGCAGATGATATGGTATTATTGGCGTATAACAAATGTAGTCTAGATAAATTAATGAATATGTGTTTCATGTACAGTTGTAAATGGAGGTTTACATATAATGCTTCCAAAACCGGTATAATTGTTTTTAATGAATCGAAAACGATGTATATAAGATCTAAGCGCAAATGGTTACTTGGTTCGATAGAAGTAAATGAAGAAGAAAGTATCGTACATGTTTGTGTCTACCTTGACAAATATAAACTATGTCGTCCCAACATAGACAATGTCGTGCACAAGTTTAGAAGTTCATGTTTTGGTTTTCTCGGTTCCAATCTGATAGGAGAGAATATCAACCCTTTAGTTGGTTTACGGCTGTACAGATCTATCATTTTACCACGTGGTCTATACAGTTGCGAACTGTGGTTTCTTCTCTCCAGTGCGGATTGGAGTCGTTTAGAAAAGATCCAAAATCTATGTGAAACATTGATTCAATGTTTTCCTTTACGTACTAGATCTGACATCTGTTTAGGAATGTTGGGTTTAACATCCCTTTCCGCAATTAACACAATTATTTAGGATCGTTGTGCAATCTTATGCCATATTGTGCCATTAAGTAACTATTTTTATTGCGTTTATTACACAAGTATTATATTTACAAGAGTACCGATAGTGTAATTCCAAATGTATGGTCTATTTTACATAAGTATGGTCTACAAAATTATTTGTATGAATTTATTAAATCGGGTACATTCCCGAAGAAGGTTCAGTGGAAACAAATTGTTGAAAAATCGGTTTTGAATAAGGAGGAGGACGATTAGAAAACCCGCTTGAATGCCATCAATGATTTCAGTCGTTTCAAAATTCTTCAGACTTCTCTAGTACCGTCGCCACTTTACTTTTTCTGGCGGTTATTAAATGTTCGATATGGCTTACTTTGTCAGAAAATTGCGAAGTTATGGACAATTAGTCCGGATTGTGAACTATTATGTTTAAAATGTAATTGTTATGATGAAGATGCTTTAGCACATTCTTGCATTGATTGTCGCCATCCCGATATTGTAGATCTACGGGATTTTTTCCTTACAAAATATGTGAACACTATCCAGTTGCTGTATATGTATATGTTGACACTTTAGAACGTGATTGTTTTATTACTACTTTGCTAGGGGATGTTACGTTAGAACTGCAAGAGTTGTTTACTAACGTAAAAGACCTAATATCGTTTAGATTGGACTGTTTCTCATTTATTATCAAAGTGTCAGATTTAACATTTCAATAATGTTCGCTGCAATCCTGAACATATCATACTACTTCTACGTTGTTAAAAAGCTTAAGTGTTTTGTACTGTAGCATATTTTTTATATTTTTTTTTGTTACTTCTCTTTTCCTCGATTAACTTTATAAGCAGCACCTTTTCTGTCAATGAATTAATTCTACCTTTGTTATTTGTCACATACTTTTTGTTTTGCACGTATTTCTGTACTTATTCACTAATAAAGATATGAATGAATGCAAAAGATTCCCTTACATTGTCCACAAAAGGTTTCGTTTTATCATCCGCAATATATAATATTCCCTTATAATGTCTACAATAAATTTCTCACGATGCCCACAATAGGGTTTACTTATTGATGCAAAAAAAAAAATCCTACGATCAGGTTTCCTTACTTTGTCCACAATGGATTTCTTTGCATTTAATATAATTGGCTTCCCAAGTTATCCACACTGTATTTTCTGATTTCATCTGCAACGGCTTCAGTGTTTAGATTGGTTTTCCCTAGATTATCAACAGGACTTTTGATAATGTAACTAACCCCTTCTGCGAGGAAACCTAACAGAAATTCCTAAAACTGCGATCACCGTTAGAAAAAACGATATGGGCTAATGTTCATACATCTATACCTCTATTGACCAAGAATAAGACTTTATATCATATTGTTGGTCACTAGCAACTGTCTTCTATAAACCTAAATGTGATTTAGGTAGCACATATCTTCGCTAACCAAGGGTTACCTTCCCTTCGAGGTAGACGGGTAACACAGAACCGTCTTCTACATAGATAGTACAAGTACAGATATAAAACAGGCGGGAATTGAAACCTTATTTATGGGGAGTAAGAAAATCTTCAGAAACATAGCAACAATAATTTAATATCTATATTGATAAATTCTTGGTTCTCATTGCGTATTTAAATTGCTTCTAAATATAACTGGCCTCTTCATACATGAAACTATTTGTAAATTAAGCGTATTAATTGGTCCGATAGAACTGCTTTATCTATCTAGTTTATTGATTTATATGGAATTTACTTGTGTAATGACATTTAATGGTTTCCATGGCATCTCCTTGTGTACGAGGTTTTATAGTTTCAATGGAATCTCCGTGTTACTGTATGAAGTAAAATGGTTCCCAGGTCAACACACACCACCAGTAACAAGTTCGCATGTTCCTGTGCATTCGATGACTCTCATTAACAGATTCAATGATAATCATCAAATGAAATTCGAAAAAGGTTCAACTAAAACTCCCCTTGTAAAATTTAACAATGATCTCTGAAGATTTTCAGTGGGAAACAATGATTGCATAAGCAGCGTTATCTTAATTTGGATTTTTCAAACCTTCAATATCGATTATATTAGATATTCCCATATTCATACCATAAACCGACATGAGGGCAGACTAGCATTTTGGGGCTTTAATTTCAAGAGATACACACACAGGCTCCAGCCTTTTCTATATATATAATTAATCCCATGACATTTTCTAAACTTGAAAAGCACTTCGCAAAATTAACTCAATTAACTGGTTTTGCCCCTCCCCTTTCCAAACACTACACCTACTGACGATACACGGTATCTGATACGAAATTCGGTTTCATACTCTCTAAAAGTCTAAAATGTGGAAAAAGATATAACATGCGGATGGGAAACACATAGGCCGTCATATGGGTCTAAAACTCGGTTATTTCCCTGACAAATAATCTCTTAATCGATCTATTCACTGAACTGTATTCGAATTCAGTACTTATTTAATAAAGTTTGCTTTTATACGAAATTCATCAACTCAGTTCCCCCCAAGAGCGAGAAACGAGTTCCATTTTCCAATATTACTAAAAACAAATCAACACGTAAACTGTATTATAAAGCCTCTCAACCTTTATTTCCAATACAGTGTGATGTACTACTAGTACAACTACAAATTTTTCATAGCATGACAGTATAAAATACTTCTTATATGGATTAGTTGGTGTTCGCCACACGAAGGGAAATAACCTTTAGATTAATTGTCCATACAAAATGTGGACAATACAAAGGGAAATAACTCTTTACTCGAAAAAAAACCTTTGTCTGTACAAGAAAATATAAAGAACTATATCAATCACGCTTTCATCTGTTTGTTTCGAAGTTGTTAATGATTTTATCACAAAGCACACGCGTAGATCTACAAAGCATGATAATTAAAACAATTGCTATGAAATTTAAATGAATTTCTCTCAAGATTATTATCTTTTACAGAAGATGTACATATTGGACACACACACTTGCTCACTGGTGACCAGAACAAAGTAGTAGTATCTGTAGCAGTGTACCGCCAGGCATGTATGGAACAACAGTACACAAGTCCAAACTAGAACATCCTCGATACTTCAGGGATTACGCTCACTTACACTATCTGCATCCCTGGAATATGTCATGACAAAATTGAAGGCTCAATGTGCACAACCTTGTTGATGCTACAAAAAGATTAGTTTAATAATACTTTGATGTACATCAAAAATTGACTGGCTTTGAAGTTGGGCGTCGCTTCTCTGTGATCTTCAAAGGACATGTATCAGCCTAGTAATTGGGTCAGGTTTTTCTACCAGAGACCAATCAAATAGCTAGTAGCTAGCCTTCAATTTTTCTACGACATATTCGTGGGGCACAGAGATCAAAAATGAGCCTACCCCCTGGAGTATTGAGGATGAAATTTGACATGTCAAGCGTGTTCTTCCATTATCCTGACCGGTTGTCTGCTATCGTGTTCTGATCAGTCACAATATCTGACTTAAATTCTCAAACATGTGTAGTAGTATACAGTTCTTACCAGTGTAAACACCGATACCGATAAACATCAATAGACAAACAAAAACAACTTTTATATTATACTTATTCATGATGATGATGAAAATGGATAGTTTTTACAGAATGAACAGCTATTTCTATGATATTAATATTAAACTGGGTGAATAAATTCCTGCACCAAATCTTAGCCAACTTAATTGAAAGTTCAATAGTCACTGCGTTTTCTGTAAGAATTTTATAAATTCAATCAGTTTTAACTTTACTTCTATGTACTGTATTACAAGCTAATGAAATATTCATTATTAACACAACTATTTGTGTACGAGTGCCTGCCGAGTGATATTGATAGACGTATGATTGGGTTGGCCTTAGTAAGCAGTACAAGTAACAGGTTATCTTTATTCTTCTTCACCTGAAAATATAGAAAAAACAGAAACAAGTGTAATAAAAGATCCATCACAAATTAAAAATGTCAGTATAGTCTCAGGAAAAAAATTGTCTTGTCAGTCTGTTGTTGTCAAGAAAAAGGAAGGTGATTTATCTTTCACTCATCATGAAATATATAGCTTTAATATTCAATTTTGAAAATTATGTATATGTCCTAAAAGTCAAATAAAGGACATCAGTCGAGGGATTTTTTGTGTGGTGAAAATGGTGACTGCACTAATCAATATATATTCCATAAAGTTGGAGCCATTGACAAGCACCACAATGCTGAAACCAAGAAAAGAGAACAATTTCATACAATGGTATCATTTCAATGACATTCATTCTCATAATGTAATTTTCTTCAAAATATTATATCATAAATGCTTCAAATCAAGATAGAACAGTATTGATTCAATCATATTTGAATTAATGAAATTACTTTTTATCCAAAAATATTTTTTCAAATTTATGATTTATGATTTATAATCTGGTTGGACAATCTCATCAAGTACAACAGAAAGAACCCACTTGAAAATCATGTTAAAAAAGTTTGTTGGAAGATATATATTGTCATGAGCTTGATCAACAGAAAAAATATTTAATTACATTTTATAATGATAATAATAGTTCCTGGTGATGGTGGCCATCTCATGTTCCATTCGTCACTTCCATTTCCTCCTCCTCCTCTTCCACAGCATCTCCTGGAAGAACAAAAAAATAACCAATCCTCTTTAATTCACTTACACACACAGACATCAAATAGTCAAACCTTGTGATGTTACAGCTGTCACACATCAAAAAGTCAAATGTTGAAATGTTAGACACACAAATCAAATAATCAAACTCTTCATGCTATAGTCAATCGGACACTGAACAAATTCATATTTAGTAAAACAGTGAAATATTTGCATGAAAACACAGACAAATCTACTGTTACAGGACCACAATCAAACTGTACAAAAACAAGAAATTCAGTTAATATTGATCTTTGTTCGGGGCATTTCTATCTCTGCAACAGCTTAGGTCATATTACAGCATGTCAATAACTAATGGGGCCACACTACAGCTAAGTCATATGTCTTCTTATAACTGGGCTATAAAACAGCTAAGTCATATGTCTACTTATAACTGGGCTATAAAACTGCTAAGTCATACTTATAACTGGGCTATAAAACTGCTGGTGTTATATGTCTACTTATAACTGGGCTATAAAACTACTAAGTCATATGTCTACTACTTATAACTTGGCTATACAACAGCTAAGTTATATGTCTACTTGTAACTCGGCTATAAAACAGCTGGTGTCATATGTCTACTTATAACTGGGCTATACAACAGCTAAGTCATACTTATAACTGGGCTATAAAACTGCTGGTGTCATATGTCTACTTATAACTGGGCTATAAAACAGCTGGTGTCATATGTCTACTTATAACTGGGCTATAAAACTGCTAAGTCATATGTCTACTACTTATAACTTGGCTATAAAACAGCTAAGTTATATGTCTACTTGTAACTGGGCTATAAAACAGCTGGTGTCATATGTCTACTTATAACTGGGCTATAAAACTGCTAAGTCATATGTCTACTACTTATAACTTGGCTATAAAACAGCTAAGTTATATGTCTACTTCTAACTGGGCTATAAAACAGCTAAGTCATATGTCTACTACTTATAACTGGGCTATAAAACAGCTAAGTCATATGTCCACTTATAACTGGGCTATAAAACAGCTGGTGTCATATGTCTACATATAACTGGGCTATAAAACAGCTGGTGTCATGTCTACTTATAATTGGGCTATAAAACAGCTGGTGTCATATGTCTACTTCTAACTGGGCTATAAAACAGCTAAGTCATATGTCTACTACTTATAACTGGGCTATAAAACAGCTAAGTCATATGTCTAGTACTTATAACTGGGCTATAAAACAGTTGATGTTATGTCTACTTATAACTGGGCTATAAAACAGCTGGCGTCATATGTCCACTTATAGCTGGGCTATAAAAAAGCTGGTGTCATATGACCATACAACGTACTAATAAAGAATAACTCAAAAGCTAATAAAAGGTTTACAATCCTGAAATGTCACAACATAAACCTAACAGCATGACACTCACTCAAATTATTCGGACAATCAGCTTACCATGCCCCAGTTATATGTTCCAACAATACATTTTATCCAAATCAAACGGCGATCAAATTCCGAGTGATTCGCTTCAATCGAACTCAGTGAGGAGGTCCACCTTTTTCCAATGGCATCTTCCCGCGACATTATTATGGACCTGCTCGTAAGTGGCACTATTGGCAAAGACCCGGATGACACTTAATGGCAATAAATGCCGTAAAGTTGTCCGATGTTGTTAACATAATGATATCGTGTAACTACAGAGCAATATCAAAGAACAACCAACCTGACACGACATGAACATTACTGCATGACACTTTAGTCATTTTATTCTGACGTTAGGCTAATCATGCCCCAGTTGTAAGTCCCAACAAACATTTAAGAATACCTTTATTATCAACCATTTCTCAGATAAGTACATATTAATCATGGCAGCTTAAGTATTGAGAACTAAGAGGTTTTGAGATCACGGGGCCTGATGTACCAAGGAAGATACCAGCAAGAGGAAAACAGTAGATCCAAGAGATGTTTATCTACTGTTGTGACTTATCCTACCTCGGAGACGTTTTATTTCTCGGCCAGGAATGATGCCCGTCTTCAACATCTGGTTCAGCCTCTCCACCTCATCCAGTGTAGCAGCTTGTGCAATGGCAGTCTACCGTACAAAAATGTTGACAGTTTATGTACAATGTTTCCAAAACATTACAACCTGTCTGGGGTACATATCAAACTTCAATTCCTAGTATTATACAAATAGAGACTTTGTAATATAAATTCAGTAAGTTCAAAGAAATGATACAGAAGACTGATTTTAAACAAGAATACTTGTTAGACTGTGGTATGGGAGAATCTGGAATAGTAGCATAGTTTGTATGTACTTAATAGCTAAATAACACTAAAAGGAGGCTATAAGGCACGACGGGAAACAAATATATTTGAAATGTATAAGTAATCAATTTACTTTAAACACTACCAACTTATTTATATCCTTTTGAATGACCCTATATGTGGCATATTTACATGCATGTTTTCAAGCAACATTATTGTGCTTGCTATCTATAATCAGCAAAAACATTTTAACACTAGCTATTAGAATGCAATGTGATTATATTACAGATTATCTACCTTGATAAGTTCGACGTCCTCTTTTGAGGGTCCTGTGGGTCGTTTCTCTGCCAACTTTTCTCCTGGTGTAAACGTCTTGCTTCGTTTGGCGACCTCTTGGGCCAGAGCCTGTCCTTTCTTTCCTTTAAACATCTTAGCTGCAGTTTCACGCTCCTTTTATGTGAACAAACAAATCTCATAATGAAATTGTATGAACATTTCAAACACACTACACTTTTCAAAAGTATGGAATTGCAATAATTAAAAGAACACTTTGATGTTTAAAATTCAAATCATCAATAAAACATGCATATTTTTGTGTACGTATAAAACATAGAACACAAACAGGACAGTAAGAAATTCTTGACATCTGGATTGTTAGGTAACCTAAGTTCCTAAGACAAAAGTGTGAAAGGATGAAACAAGAGGCCCTGAGGGCTTGTATCGCTCACCTGAATATGAATATTAAAGCAGTCATAGCAAAATATTCTCATTAAATATTATATTGCATTAAAAATATTTCCCTCACAAACTTTGTCGGCTCTATCTGTTGAAACTACCTGATTCTGTGCTTTTTTATTCTTCCACAGAAGTTGCTCGACATATTATTCCCTGTGACCTTGTAAGTAGGTCAATGTCATTTTCCTTCTCAAATTGGTTAGCTCTATTCCAAAAAGCTACCAGCCAAATCTTATGAATCCATTCCTTTTAGTTCTTAAGAACAAATCCTTTAAAATGTTGTTGACATCTGTGATCTCTAAAGTAGGTTGAGGTCATTTTCATTCGCAAACTTTGGTGAGCTCTACCCTAGGAAGTCACCAGCCAAATATTTTAATTTTATGCCATTCGATTATTCAGAATAAGTCATTTGATGTTTTTGACATATTTGACCCATGTGACCTTGAAAGAAGGTCAAGGTCATTTTCGTTCTCAAACTTTGTTGGGCTCTATCCCATGAAGCCATCAATCAAATATGAGGATTATATACCTTTTAGTTCTTCAGAAAAAGTCATTTGGAAGTGTTTGACACATATGACCCCTGTGACCTTGAAAGTTGGTCAAGGTTATTTTCATTCTCAAACTTTGTTGGGCTCCATCCCAGGAAGCCATCAGCCAAATTTGAAGATTCTACACATTTTAGTACTTTAGAAGTCATTTGAAGTTTTTGACATATTAGACCCCTGTGACCTTGAAAGTAGGTCAAGGTCATTTTCGTTCTCAAACTTTCAGCCAAAAATCATGACCCTAGGCCTGTCCGTTCTTCAAGAAAAGTTGTTTAAAGGAAAAGTTGACAGACGAAGATGGACGCCGCACCACGACATAACCTCACTTGCCCTTTGGGCAGGTGAGCTCATAATAATTTGAGGTTCTTGTAACCATTTTATCACAACCTAGTTTGTAGGTCGTCTAAAAGAGGTTCACAATATATTATCCATGGTTAAAGGGCCTTTGCAGACAGCCAATATCTTTTTCAACTCCCTGGGGAGCATACAGCCAGTGATGCCATTTCGGCCCCCACAACTAGCTTTCAACAATTTTAGCATTGCCAAACCATGTACTCATTTACAGCTTAGTAGACTGGAACAAGCAGAGTAAAGTATCTTGCTCAAAGTGTTGTGCCTTGACTCGAACCCGCAACATTTCTGTCACGAGCCTTGCATCCTACCACAAGACTACTGTGCAACCGTATTTCTAGCAAGTCATCATCCTCGATACTCTAGAGATTATGCTCACTTAAGCTCTCTACACCCCTTGAATATGTCATGACAAAATTGAAGGCTCAGTCTGCATCAGCTTGTAGATGAGACAAGAAGACTAGTTTGATCCTTTGATGTACATCAAAAGAATCTGGCAGTGGCATAACAGTAAAATTGACTGACTTTGGAGTCTGGTGTGATTCTTCTGTAATCTTCAAAAGACAGGTATCAGGCTAAAGCGGTTGGTCAGGTTTATTTACCGGAGACCAATCAAATATCTAGCTACGTGCCTTCATTTTGCTATGAAATATTCCAGGGGTGCACAGACCGAAAGTGAACGTAAACCCTAGAGTATCGAGGATGGTGATTCTGCTTAAGCCTAGTAAACCTGATCTGTATCCCTCAGCTCTCATAATCACGGTCATCGGCAGTCTAAAACACTTGTGACTATTTCCTTTCAATGGATAAAAAAACCAAAAGCCAAAAAGGCGAAATTTTAATATAATTTTGAATGGAGTGTTTTGATACAGAATAGAAAGGAAGTTGTTTTGATATAGAAAGGAAATACTCATCAAATATTTAAACTTTTGCCTCATAGAATGTTTCACATCATCGGGATAGAAGTCAGGTCCAGAATAAAAGTCACAACAAAATGTTGGGCTCTATCATAGGAATTCACCAGCCAAATATAAAGATTCTATACCTTTCGGTTCTGCAGGATAAGTCATTTGAAGTGCTCGACACATTTGACCGTCATTTTGGTTCTTAAACTTTGTTGGGCTCCTACCAACAAAGCTTTCAGCCAAATATCGTGACTCTAGGCCTGCCCGTTCTTCAGAAGAAGTTGTTTAAAGGAAAAGTTGACGGATGAGGACAGACGACGGACGCCGCACCATGACATAAGCTAACTTGCCATTTAGGCAGGTGAGCTTATAATAAATTGAGGTTCTTGTAATCATTTAATCACAACCTAGTTTGTAGGTCGTCTAAAAGAGGTTCACAATATATTATCCATGGTTAAAGGGCCTTTGCAGACAGCCAATATCTTTTTCAACTCCCTGGGGAGCATACAGCCAGTGATGCCATTTCGGCCCCCACAACTAGCTTTCAACAATTTTAGCATTGCCAAACCATGTACTCATTTACAGCTTAGTAGACTGGAACAAGCAGAGTAAAGTATCTTGCTCAAAGTGTTGTGCCTTGACTTGAACCCGCAACACTTCTGTCACGAGCCTGGCATCCTACCACAAGACTACCGTGCAACTGTATTTCTAGCGAGTCATCATCCTCGATACTCTAGAGATTACGCTCACTTAAGCTCTCTACACCCCTGGAATATGTCATGACAAAATTGAAGGCTCAGTCTGCATCAGCTTGTAGATGAGACAAGAAGACTAGTTTGATCCTTTCATGTACATCAAAAGAATCTGGCAGTGGCATAACAGTAAAATTGACTGACTTTGAAGTCTGGTGTGATTCTTCTCTAATCTTCAAAAGACAGGCAATATTTACCAGAGACCAATCAAATATCTAGCTGCATGCCTTCATTTTGCTATGAAATATTCCAGGGGTGCACAGACCGTAAGTGAACGTAAACCGCGGAGTATCGAGGATGGTGATTCTGCTTAAGCCTATTAAACCTGATCTGTATCCCTCAGCTCTCATAATCACCGTCATTGGCAGTCTAAAACACTTGTGACTATTTCCTTTCAATGGATAAAAAAATAAAAAGCCAAAAAAAACGAAATTTTAATAAAATTGTGTATGGATACAGAATGGAAAGTTAGTAGTTTTGATATAGAAAGGAAATACTCATCAAATATTTAAACTGTTGCCTCATAGAATTTTTCACATCATTGGGATAGAAGTCGGGCCCAGAATAAAAGTCACAAAAAATTCAAGAGCATTTTTATTTTCATATAATTCTATTCTTCTTTTTGAAGTATATATCCAATTGAAACAAGAATAATCATTACTCAGAAAAACTCACTTTTTATATGTTAATATTTAGGGACAGAATTTTCTTTAATTTGATAGTGAAAGTTCAGCATTATCAAAGAACTTATTTCCCACACAAATTGTTGGGATCTATCCAAGGAAGTCACCAGCCAAATATAAAGATTCTATACCTTTCAGTTCTTCACGAGATGTTATTTGAAGAGTTTGACACATTTGACCTGTGACCTTAAAAGTAGGTCAAGGTCCTTTTTCGTTCTCAAACTTTGTCGGGCTCTATCCCAGGAAGCCACCATCCAAATATAAAGATTCTGTACCTTTCAGTTCTTCATGAGAAGTCGTTTGAAGAGTTTGACACATTTGACCCCTGTGACCTTCAAAGTAGGTCAAGGTCATTTTCGTTCTTAAACTTTGTCGGGTTCCTACCAACAAAACTTTCAGCCAAATATCATGACTCTAGGCCTGCCCGTTCTTCAGAAGAAGTTGTTTAAAGGAAAAGTTGACAAGACGTGGACAGAGGACGGACGCCGCACCATGACATAAGCTAACGTGCCCTTCAGGCAGGTGAGTTCATAATAATTTGAGGTTCTTGTAATCATTTAATCACAACCTAGTTTGTAGGTCGTCTAAAAGAGGTTCACAAATTATTATCCGTGGTTAAAGGGCCTTTATAGACAGCCAATATCTTTCTTAACTCCCTGGGGAGCATACAGCCAGTCCAGTGATGCCATTTCATCACAAACAGCTAGCATTCAACATTTTTAGCACTGCCCAACCACGTACTTATTTACAGCTGAGTAGACTGGAACAAGCGGAGTAAAGTATCTTGCTCAAAGTGCTGTGCCTTGACTCGAACCCGCAACACTTTTGTCACGAGCCTGGCATCCTACCACAAGACTACCGGGCAACTGTATTTCTAGCGAGTCATCATCCTCAATACTCTAGAGATTACGCTCACTTAAGCTCTCTACACCCCTTGAATATGTCATGACAAAATTGAAGGCTCAGTCTGCATCAGCTTGTAGATGAGACAAGAAGACTAGTTTGATCCTTTGATGTACATCAAAAGAATCTGGCAGTGGCATAACAGTAAAATTGACTGACTTTGATGTCTCGTGTGATTCTTCTCTAATCTTCAAAAGACAGGCACTATTTACCAGAGACCAATCAAATATCTAGCTGCATGCCTTCATTTTGCTATGAAATATTCCAGGGGTGCACAGACCGTAAGTGAACGTAAACCCTGGAGTATCGAGGATAGTGATTCTGCTTAAGCCTATTAAACCTGATCTGTATCCCTCAGCTCTCATAATCACCGTCATCGGCAGTCTAAAACACTTGTGACTATTTCCTTTCAATGGATAAAAAAATAAAAAGCCAAAAAGACGAAATTTTAATAAAATTTTGTATGGATACAGAATGGAAAGTTAGTAGTTTTGATATAGAAAGGAAATACTCATCAAATATTTAAACTTTTGCCTCATAGAATTTTTCACATCATTGGGATAGAAGTCGGGCCAAGAGTAAAAAGTCACAACAAAATTCAAGAGCATTTTTATTTCCATATAATTCTATTCTTCTTTTTGAAGTATATATCCAAATGAAACATGAAAAATCATTACTCAGAAAAACTCACTTTTTATATATTAATATAAAGGAAAAGTTGATTGACGAGGACGGACGGAAGACGTCCACCAAACCATGACATAAGCTCACTTACCCTTCGGGCAGGTGAGCTAAAAAGTCAGTCAGAAACTGTGATTACATAAACATTCTATTCCTGTTGATGATTATCTGCATGTATTCATCAACCTCTGATATTTTTCATCAAGTAAGAATACTCATGGAAGAACACCTTTTCAAATAACCGCCGTAACCAAAAGCCGGCACAGTTATGTAAAAGAAATGTTTCATTTTCTTTATATTCAGTTTTAAGAAGATCTCAAATATAAAATCAATCACCTTAATGATAGTTTAATATGTTACCCACCTTTTGTTTGATTCTCTGGAAGTCTAGCACTCGTAGCTGTGGGACCTTGTGTATCAGGTACAGCCTGTACTGCTTCTTTGTGGTAACAGGATTCCGCAGCAAACTAGAGTTAAATACACAAATCGGAATCGTAACCAGCTTTCAAAACGTTAAGAAAAAAATAATTCCTATTTTAAAAGGGTGGTTTACAATTAGTTTAACCGTCATTAAAAAGTGAAAGGTCATGATTGCAGTCTAAATTTGTTTGTAACTTTAAAAGTTAGTCGCAGATTTTTTAATTTGTGTGTTGAATTGCGACAATTTATTCCTCTGCAGCGATTGGTACAGACAGAGGAGATGATCAGTGCAAATAAATGACCATTTTTTTGTTGTTAACTTGAGTCACAGCTCTAACGTGTGTTGTCTGGCAAATACATACCAATGTTAGTGTGATTTAAAAGAGAAAACAGAAAAAGACCATGTCTCCCAATTATTGATTCTTTTATTGTGACATACCTGAGAAATTTTAAAGACTTAATGGAAGTAAGATGGTCGAGGTCTCCCAGTTCTTGCATATTGTTATTGGTGAGAATAATAGACTCTAAGCTGGGAAGGCATTCTTCAAGACTCTCTGCTATTCTCCTGCAAATATTTGAGAGTAAGTGCAAAATTAAACTTAAATTATCACAAGATATCAAACAGAAATAACACTGTGTAGAAGTAAAATCTTGTTGTTTTTTTTAATATTACAAAATAAACACAAAATATTGCTGTAGGTCACACTGTTCCACCAGCAAAATACTCACACAATTCTGTTATTATTGAGCAGCAAGCATTTAAGACGGCGTAGTAATGGAAATCCATCCACCTTTCTTATATCATTGTCAGAGAAGTCTATTGTATCAAACTGGTCCTGCAAAAAAAGGAAATATAATTCATTTTTTAACCTTCATTGTCACTTTTTTGATAAAAAAACAACAACCCAACATTGACATAAAACTCACAACAATGTTTCTTCATATAAAATTGCCAGTTTCTGTGGTTTTTGTTTTCAACCTAATTTGGAAGCAAATGCCATCAAATCTGTGACATTTTTTTCGAGATAAACTCTAGAAATACAAATATACACACAAAAAAGACATCTCAATGATGCACACAGCCTCCTTGGCAACTGTAAAGTTCTTAAATCATATACTCCATAGAGAAAACGTATCTAAAAGTCACCCCTGCAGTATGATTGATTTATCTAAGGCTGGTAAAAAATCTGCAGAGTTGTCGAGATGTGCTCAGAAACAGTTGGGCACAGGTTGATGGACGGACACACATAAAGGAGGAATCCATTTGTATATAACATGTCCAAATCTTGGTGCAGGAAAGTTACAAAAATAATCATATTTACTATCTTATTTTTGTTCAAACAGATCCAGAATGAAACAAATTCCAGCCAATTATTTTTCAACATTTTTTGCAACTCCAGTAAAACTGGTTATAAAACAAACCTCAACATGCCTAAGGAAATTTGATCGCTACCAGACACACGAGTGTTTGTAGCAAACTTGCTTCACAATAAACTTAACATACTTTCAGGCTTATAGTTTACTGATGTACTTGGTAAATTTTCCCAAAAGCGGAAGGGAAAATGTGTTAACACTATGACAATACACTCACTAGAAATACTAAGTGTTTTATTTCTGGATATTTAAGTACATGTACATCAAATATATATGAAACATTTTTCATATCGATATATTTAGTGACTGTAAGAGTTACTTTTTCAATGTTCGAACACTTGAAACATTTAATTCAACTTACCAATGTTGCTCCGAGATTTTCAATCACAGGTATTTTGTAACCTGAAAGTGTAAATATTAAACATCAAACAGGAACTACACAGGTATTTTGTTACCTGAAAGTGTAAATATTAAACATTAAACAGGAACTACACAGGTATTTTGTAACCTGAAAGTGTACATATTAAACATTAAACAGGAACTACACAGGTATTTTGTAATCTGAAAGTGTAAATTTTAAACAATAAACAGGAACTACACTGGTATTTAAATTGTGACAAGACATCTTTATACTAGTGTGAACAATGACACACATTTTTAAAGTAGGAAAAGAAATATCACCGATTCTTTTCACTAAAATATTAAATTGGGTTGGGAATTATTACTTCACAAAGTGATACATATATTGCACAAAGGCTATCTATCACAACCAGAAAGTGTTAATGTGTGATGTTTTAATGACTAGTATGGGTCGTGCCTTTATCAGACAAATGACTAGTGAAGCGTATGTACACAAAGGTGTAAAAAAAATTATGACTTGGCAAAAGTGATGTTGATTTGGATTCACTATAAGCAGATTCACAATTACATGTATCTGTTTCATACAATTCCGTTTGTTGTGTCACAGCATAAAGTGGTAACTAAATTACCTGGCTATACATGGTCAATAAACTGATGTAGTTTTTGCAATATTTGCATTATAACCTTTAATTCCATTTTAAGATGCTATTTTTTTCCCTGACTTTTCCTGATGGTGTAGGTACCTCGATGAAACTACAATGTACACTTGATTACTTAGACAGAAAATCTTGTTCATTCAGCCCAAGGTCATACAAAATAATCCTTTAAAATATCAGTTTTCACTCGAATAATCTGGGTCCTAAGAAAACGACTTTTTATTTAGCATGGGATGCATCCATGAAGAAAGAAGCATTTCCCCCTGGACAATCAACAATTGGAGTAAAATATGACTTTAAATTATATCAGCTATCCTGAATATGGGTTGGTTTGACCCACTACAGATAGCCCAAGTTTCCTCTGGCCCTATCACCAGACTTGCACATTTTGACATAAAGATGACTGCTGTTGAGGTGCTGATGTGTAATGTGGTGAGGTAAACCGTCCTTATTATCACGAAATGCTGCTAAATTCTGTCAGTCGAGTCCTCAGCGTTCAATTATTAAAACTTTCCCACCTTAGCGGCGCTATTGTGTAGGTTATAAATGAAAATTACACAGGAGTGGCTAATGATATAATCACCGTGTTGTTTCATAGCAGATTGTTGGTGTCAAAAAATTACATTTTCACCAAACAGTGTCAGAAAATTCCATGTTTTCGTATAGTAGTGCGCTCTGGCCCTTCACCAGACAACTATATGTCCAACTGTTTGCCGGGCCAAAGTCTGGTGTCAGGACCAGAGGAAATTTGGGCTACCTCTCAGATTGTTTCACACTAAATAGAAACCTATAAATATAATGTGTGATGTCAAAGTATATATAGATCATAGCTGACCAAGGAGAATACATTTTGCATGCATATGGAAATTCTCTGTGAAACCAGACTTAATATACCATACATCTGATCGGGGCATACAATATCTTCCAAAATCTATTAAATAAAATCGAAACAATCACCTATGAGCAGACTACCCTATCATTGAACAGGTTGGGCACAACGGCGCATATGGGTAATAATCCTGCATTTGGAATTGTTACTCAAATGAGTAACTGTTACCCAAATGCAGGATTAAAACAGCAATCTCATCCTTCAAACCTTTATTCTATTCCTAATAATTTCATATCGAAACACACCTAACGTAATCTTCAACTTGTTGAAGTCGGGTCATAAGGTGTAAATATAACGGGGGGGGTCAAAGTCGGAGGATTGTTGATGAAAAAAGATATCATTACTGTAAATCTGCTAATGACCAATACATCGGATAACAGTCGACAAATGCATGTTGTTATAACTGTTACAGTTTTTGCTATGTATTGCTTATTAACAGTAAGCATACTAAACGTGTTGCTCTCCGGAAGTTACCTCTCAAATCAAGTTCGCGGTCCCTGACTGGGTTTGTGTATTGTGCGGATTGTTCTATTAATTCTGCAGTTAATTTCACCATTCTGCCAGTGCAAGTACTTCAGTTTTGTAACTGTTTTCAGTAGCTCTCGTCTGTTTACAGTTTGTCCATCATATTAGCACGAATTATTAATAAACGTCAGGTAAACGTTTCTTTTTCCCGGCGTTTTGTTTTCGTTCGCGTGGTCACAACTATTATTGTGCGCATGCGTGAAAGGAAATCAATATTTAAGCCTAAAATTGGGGTTGTGTCCGGAATTCCGTAAATAGATAAAGATTTCATAGAATTATCACACTTGCTATGCATCCAAATAAAAGGGGATAATGCACACACTCTCCAATTTAAGAAATTATGAATATTCTGATTCATATCAGTTTTCCTCTCTGAGACTCCGTACACCCGACTCAATCTCGTTGGCAATGACAATTTTGGATTCCTCAAAAAGTCGTTGGAGATCTTCAGTCCAATGAAACGCGGGTTGATCTGGTTTGAGCAACTGACGGAAAGGAAGCATATTTTCAGTCATACTGAAGGCATACGACACCTATCTCGACACATACGCTGTTCTATAAAACATGTACTTCGATGTTCCGTCCCCTGCACCGATCCGGACTTCTGGTCGTGTCACAAAGAAACCAGCTTGGCATTCATGTTATAAAATGTCCAAATAACAATTGACTTGTTTCTACTTGGAACATTTCCTAAGAGTTATACTGTCTGTTTTGCAGAGACTCAGTGCTTCATTTTGTTTATTTTAGGACAATTATATTTGGACATTTCTTAATATTTCTCATATTTCACATCAGTCTTTGTTTCTAGGACTCATTAAATACGAGTGAACCTATTACTCGCGTGTACCAAAGACTTGGGGGAGATAGAGGATTTATGTTATGATAAGTTTCTATACGTAATTCATGCTAATTATTATTTTGCAATTTACCACTACTTTTAATTTGTGTGTCTTTTCAGACCGTGTTCATTGCTGAATAAACATCTTTTAAAGTAAACGGAACAGAGTCCCATTTAGTGTTAAAATTTCTGGGAATTATTTGCACTTCCACCTGCAACTGGGGCCATTCTTTTCCCAATACTCACCTCTAAGGAATATGAACAGTATGTAGATCTAATGAACTATAAAAGAGTAATTTTCCCCAGTCGAATCATTGGGTTGTTTTTATTTATTTACCATGGTGACTTATTTTCAGAAAGCGAAACAGGTCATCTCTTATTGTTCTGTAAAATGGTGTGTTTTGTGATTCAAATAATTCTTTAAAATAACACCTAACACATCCAGGATATGTAGTAAACGATGTCCATAGTTGAATAAATGTTCATTTCAGTTAAGAGTTGCCTCCCTTAGACCACCGATTTTGCAAAAATGTAACTCGAAGCAATAAGTGGTTTGATCACATGCATAACTGTTATACGTCTCTGGTAAGATGAAGTTTTTTTTTCGCATCATATCAAATGAAAGAAAGAAAAAACCGCACCCTTAAGATAAAAGTTAATTTTAGTGAGCTAAGCAACATATTGTGCTTACTTGTTACAGCCCAACGCATTTCATTTTTCAAAGGAGTAAACCTGTTATCAACACGAGACTCAAACGTCATCAAGATGACCAAACGGCCTCTAGGGCAGAACAAGTCGATAACTATTTTTTGTTCTTTATAATTATTGTAGATAAGTAGTTGTAAACAGTGTCTCTATAATCTTCGCCGTTTTATTTCCGTGACATTCATCGTGTCACTTATTTCATTTGAAACCTTTAACATTAAGAACTTTTAAGTTAAAGTAAATTTCCTAAAACAGATAATGTTGATCTTTTCCAATGCTGACGACGGCACCAAGGCACCGGATGTGATGGACAATAGTACAAGGCACGGGAGTGATGGACAATAGTACAAGGCACGGGAGTGATGGACAATAGTACAAGGCACGGGAGTGATGGACAA